TGGCTGGGGAATTCTGGGAGTTGAAGTCCACTCATCTTAAAGTGGCCAAGTTTGGACAACACTGGAATAGAGTATAGGGGAGAGGAGGGGGCAGGGATACATCCAGGATCTCCCTTGAGGTTTTTAGTATAATGCTGAAATTTGCCATCAGTGGTGTATTTAAAATAGGAGCTGAACAGCATGAATGTGATTTTAGAGGTAACAAATTGGGTGCTGTTGTTCAGCCTAGGAATTTATGATCAGTCCTAGAAGCAGGCTGGCATGTTCTTTCACCATTCGTTTCCCCCCCATTTTTCCCCAGTTTTCCTTCCAGCAACTAGTTCAGAGGAAGGAGACGTAATGCAATTAGCAGGCAGCTGCTAATTTACTGCGTTCATTAGGAGATCCTCAGTGATCTTTTGCCTCTCCCTCCTTTGAGAAGACTAGCAAAGATGGTGAAGTGAAGGTGTGAGGGGAAAAAAGAGGAAGCCATAAGATGAGGGAGTTTCTGGCATAGCTTGGGTCTGTGCATATGTACAGATGTGCAAACACACACACACACTTTCTTAAAGAAAGAGGATTTAATCTATAACTTTTTTCTAGCTATAGAGCCACAAAAGAATGGATCTCTCTCCAGTTCCATATTAAGTATACAAAGCAATTGGTTGGTGTTTCCAAAATAAATTTTGAACTTTTTAGGTTGCTAAATATTTTAGTAAACCAAAGTACTGCGTTACTTCAGTGTTCGTTCTATTAACTGTAATTGTTTTGGATTCTTTAAGAAAAGGAAAGTAATAGAACAATTAAAAGAAGAAGAGCATCATCCACATCTCTTTGATAAATCTGCCTATTAGAGAGATGCCACTGAAAACGTACGACAGAAATGTTTTGTTCAAACAAAACTCCTTGTTCAAGGATCAAGTTTAGGGAAAATTGTTCAGTGTTTACCACCGAAAATAGCTCTGTACAATGGTGGAGTGGCTGATGCTTGTCATATGACAATCATGATACTATAATCTTTGGAACAATTTTCAATTTTTGTTTTTCAAAAAAATAAGATAATGCTCCTAAACTAACGGGTCTCATGCCACAGATAGATTGGGATATGATTGCATCATGCAAAGTTTATTTTTTCTTAATTTCCAGAAAACTACCTGTGGTTTTACTGAGCTAACAGAATAGAATGACCCCTTTAAGACAGGGTTCCTCAACCTCAGCAACTTTAAGATGGGTGAACTTCAACTTCCAGAATTCCCCAGCCAGCCATGCTGGCTGAGGAATTCTGGGAGTTGAAGTCCACCCATCTTAAAGCTGCTGAGGTTGAGGAATCCTGCTTTAAGAGACTGGCTGCCTCCCTCCATGCTTAGATGTTATTTAAGTACATTTGGCCTGCCTGTGCTCCTATTACCTACTCATGTGATAGTTTTCTGTTCTCTCAGCTAAAGAAGGAGGCATAAGGTTTAGAATATGGTTTGAGGAAAGGGAATGGTCAGAACTCCAGGTTTTATAGTAGAGTATATCTCTCTGCTACCACCATCAGTGAATGACTACAGAAGGAGACTTTTTTTGAGAAATATTTGGAAACACCACTATGGTATGGATAATTTTTAATTAAGGACAGTGATGGATTTTTATATAAACATATTAATTATTGGTGGAATAAAAAGTATTATATCAAAGAGAAAAATAGCTCAGTTAGTCTACACTTGTAACTCATAAGACAGACATATTCTGGAGTACTGCCATGTTAAATCAGTCTTGATTATCTGCCCACCCCCGTGCTTAGTGGGATTGAGTTATAACTAACTTCGTTTTATTTTGATTGGTGTCATATTCTGTGCACGTTCCCACATCACTACATAGCAAGCGCTGTCTTTCTCCTCTTTTGTATTTTCTAAGTGTAAGGCCTCTGTCTCTGCCCTCAGGTTTCCCCTCAGACAGCAGAACCAGTGTGGGATGAAGCTTTCTCCTTCCTTATCAAGAGGCCCCACGCAGAATCTTTAGAGTTGCAGGTAGGTATTACGGACAGTTCTTCCCCACAACAGCCATTCTCTTCTGTTCCACCATCCAGACGTGCCAAGCCAAGTCAACGGGACTCAGTTTGCTTGATAAGCCTACTGAGAAGAACTTTTGGGTCTCCTGATTTGGTAGCGGGAACTGGAACTTCAAATATGGAAAACCAAGTTGTTTAAGCGATGTGATTGTGGACTAGCTGCCACAAGAGCAGATGGAATGTTCTGAGTATCCTTCAGTCCAGTTAGCAAAGTTCTCTCAGCCTTTGCTAACTTCCTGGTAGTTTTAAGGGTTACCAAAAAATAACTTTTATCAGTGACATGCTTTGAATCCTTAACATGTAGTACTTTCAAGTATTATTTTTCCAGATGTAAGCTTGGGTGCTACGTTCATGTTTTTTTTTTTAGCTGAAATACCTTTTCTTTTTTTTCTGTGAAAGAAGAAAAGGACGGTAATGAGACAAAGCTTTTCAGAGCATAGTAGAAGCTAAAGTGGAGGCAGCTGGTATGTGTGGTTTATGCATATGTATTATATATAAATGCAAGAAACTATACACACCTGTACTGTCCTCGTGGTGCTTGGGAAGGTTACAGCAGAGAGCCGTATAGATCTGCAAGGCTTTCACCTAATTCCCAAGACAGGGAAGCAGAACTGGCCCATCTTTACCCTTGAGCCAAAAACTTCAAAACAAGCTAGGCCTTGTGCGGTAAAGAATCCTTAAATTGGGAGAGGAGACTATCTTCACAACTCAGTTTCTGTCCTCCCAGAATCTTTTAGAAGGTAAGGAGAACAATCTCTTTGCAGCTTAAAGGAAAGGGAGTGCAGACCCAGCTGCATCTTCTCAGAAGCTAAGCTCCTTACATTACAAGGAAACTGCCTCTTTCTAGCTCAAAAGCCTGGAAGCCAGAAGAGGATTTTTTTCTTGGATGCACACCCCCCGATGCTCTCTGCTCCATAGCTGTGACATGTAGAAGGTCGCCATTTGTTTTTTGTTTTTCTTTCACAGGTCAAGGATGATGGGCACATCCTGGGCATCCTGTCACTCCCACTCTCACAAGTGCTGGCTGCAGAGGGGCTTGTCCTTGACCGCTGGTTCCAGCTCACTAACTCTGGTACTGCTAGCCAGGTCTTGATGCGAGTGCAGCTTGGGGTAAGTGGGTGTGATGGTCTTGGGAATGACCTTGGGAGATAGGAGGGACAACTGGCATGTAAAAAATGTCTCAGCCTGGGGGGACGTGGGGGTGGCGGCATGGGAAACATTTCAGAAGGGACCCTCTCTAGTTTTCCAGACAGTAAAAAGAGAGGAGGGGAGAAATACTTTCAGTCTTGCAAGATTCTGTTAAATATAACCTTATAATAAAGACAGAGCTAGTACTCCTGGTTGTGCTTCTTGTCTGGACTACCCCGCACGGCTAACAGTGGGGTTGTGGGGAGAAGCCAATCTGGGTTATGGCCGAGCAGGCTCTAAATGCCTTGCGCGCAACTCCACAGCTTCTGATTTCTCAGCACTCTGGGGTGGAGGCTTTCCATGCTGCCGCAGGGGATGAAAATGAGGAGAACTCCCAGAAGGGGTCAGAGACTGAGCTGTATATCAGAGAGGATGGAGACTCTGGCTCCCCGCAAGAGCTGCGCCAGCGGATCCCCCATGCCAACAGGTAAGGAGGGCTCCTTGCATGGAATGCAGAATCCATGCAGAGGGATAAGATGACTCCTATTCGTGTTTAATGAATTGACTCTGTGCGGTCCCTTCTTGCATGAAATCCAGTATTCTGTATCTGAAGAAATTCTCTTCTTCTCTCAAGATAATTTCTAGAGGGAGAGCTGTGTTAGTCTGCTGCAGCTTTAAATAAATGAAGCATATACTACTCTGGGCTACCATCCATTTCATGAGATGCTAATAACAGCAGGAAATCAGCAAAATCAACTAAATTGCCCCCTTGCACACACACACACACACACACACACACAATCCCTGGCTTTCTACTGTAGGAAATCGACAGTCCCTAAGCAAGAGGCTGGTGCGTGTGCATCTCTGGGCATCTGTAGGTGCACGTGCACAAGTGTTCTCCCTCTGAGCATCTGAAGCAGCCTTCAGGGCCAAAACGGCTGTCCTGTTGTTGAATCATTTAATGCTGATCATTTAAGAGTGTGATAGCCAGAAAGATTAACTCCTCCCTTGAAATTCTGTTTCACCCTCTTTCACTTGACTTTCGATCCTAAATGTCTTTTCATGCCTCTGGATGCTGTGACATCAGAGAAGACTTCTGTGATGTCACAGAGGGCTGTGCCAGTCTCCCGTGAGGAAACTCTTAGAGGGGAGGGGAGGTTGGAAGCGGAACTCCATGAGGTCCAGGCAGGGTCAACCTAGGAAATGGAAGCCAGTGCCCTGTGGGCTTTTGAATAACCTCTTGTTGATACAGATCGGTTGAGTGGAGCTTTTTACCAGAAAGGGAGAGACAACGCTTGCTGTTTATGTACGTAATATATTTGATGCTTTAAAAGGTGAGCTCTCTTCTGCTGTTTTGTCTTGCAGCACATTGCTCATCTGGGCTTTGGGAATTCCAGCAAGTTTACTCCTCCCCCTGCAGCCCTCAGAGCTGCCGAAAACATCCCAGCTTTGCTTTCCAGCCCTCCTCATCGCTGCACTACATAGGCCGCCACTGCGACCTGCCACCATTCTCATCACCAATGCAGTTTGCTGCTTCGGTGACACATTTCTCCTGCCACATAGAGAACAGACCTTCCTGCCTTTTAAGTCCCCACCATCCTATTGGTTCAGATCTTTCAAATGGCATCTTCCCTCCCATCTCTCCATTACCTTCAGTGTTCCTTATTGTTGCATTACTTTTCTCAAGCTGCATGTGCTACCAAGGGGTCTAAAAATATTCCCCCTTTTCCTCATGCCAGACCCACGTGTTTTCGAGCTCCTGTAATATTCCTCTGCACTTGTGTCTTTCTGCCCTGCAGTAATTTGGAGCTACCAGACACACCCCTGGGACAGCTGCAGCTCACTGTCTGGTACAACATGGATGCAAGGAAACTGATTGTGATCATACACGCCTGCAGGTAACAGCTGTCGGACAGACTTGACTGGGGAGAGGAGAAACAAAAGGCGAATTTGGTACAAGCCTCCAAAACAATTGGATTTCTTCCTGTAGCAACAGAACATGGAGATAATTCTAAGCCATCGTTCTGGATGACACTTTCTCCTGATTGCAGAGGGTCCTTGCTTTAAACACTCATTGCCAGTGTATCTCCTTCTGGACGTCTGGTACTGTCCATCACGAGATTCTCTAGGAACATTATCAAAAGGAGTAATAAACCCTACTGAATCCAGAATATCTAGAACTATCTGGAATAGTTCTGAGGACAATATGGAGAGGCATAGCTGGCTTTCCAGTGGGCTCTGGAAGAATGCTTGTGTGTGAATGGTGCAGCGGGCAGCAGTCAGTTCAGAAGAGGTGGTTTATGTTTTTTTAACAAACAATGATAAAATGGGAGAAGTTGATGGATGAGGAGGGAAGGGGCTTGTTTCATGAAATAGGTGTGGTTTTCTCTTGCTTAACTAGCTGATCCAAATTGGTGCTCCTCTTTACCAAACTTACCTTAAAATGCTTCCTAGCCATTTACTTTGTAGCCGTTCAGGTTCCTTTCTTTTTCAAGAGCCTCCTCCTTTGACTACATTCCAGAAACCTCAAGTCAAGTGCCAGGGATGCTCCTGACCCCTATGTCTCTTTGATCCTGCTGCCTGACAAATCTCGTGTCACCAAGAAAAAGACTACTGTACGGAAGAAGACTGTGAATCCTGAGTTCAGTGAGAAGTAAGGGAGAATGCAGCTGTATGGCAATAGGGGCGTGTTTGAAAAGGTCACCTTTGATACTGGAAAGAGTAGTAGGGATCTGGGAACCTCACTGAGCCATCTGATCCATTTGCCCATTTTTAATTAGGGCAACGTTTGCCATTCCTTGTATTTTTAAAAGCGTTCACACACTGAAGGAGGTAAATCATGATTGGAGTCTCTGTGAGTTTATATTGAATTAATTCATTCAAAATAAATGTTACTCTGGATTTCTATTCTTGGAGTTACTACTACAAATTAGATGCCATATTCCAATCAGAACGAATATAGGGAAATGCACACTGATGCAACAATTCTGATGATTAAAACATAATTATTAGAGGTAAGCTTTGTTAAATGACCCCGGCACTTGTCCTTTTATTTTATTCATTATACTTCTAAACTCCCTTTCATCCAAAAGGTATCTAGGATCATTAAGGATTTTTAAAGCCTATTTCAGAAAAGCAGTAACAGTCCAATCCATGCAATGCACTTATAACAGGTTTGAGTGGGATCTCACTTTCGAAGAAGCCCAACGGAGGAAGCTGGAGGCCTACGTTAAAAACAGTGTCTCTTTTATGTCCCGAGGAGAGCCAATCGGAAAGGTACAGAACGCAAGTGTTGCTGTGCTGGTGACTTTAATGGCAGTGAAGCTTCTTCCGGGAGAATTCCAGGCATGTGACTCTTCCTTCTTTGTGTCTCTTCCAGGTACACATTGACCTCTCCCAAAAGGACCTCACCCAAGGTGCTGCCCAGTGGTAAGTATAGGAGTAGTACAGGTAACAAAGGTGTCTTGGGCAGATGCCAAACCAGCTCCACTTCTATTTCCCTTCTGGTATCCAAGATCAGGGGTCTGGCAGAGAAGTCTTGCAGGAGCCCCATGGTTTGGGTGTTCGCTTGTTTGTTTTTCTCACAGTGTATCCTCTTTGAAAAGGACACCTGCGCAGCAGGGCTGATTTTTCTCAGAGCTACGTTTGTTAAGTAGAATCTTATGAACAAGATTCTCCTACCCTAAAAGCTACAGTGGTGGAGTCTCGTCCAGTACAACCCAGCTGGGCAACCTTTTTTCTGGTTGATAGTCACATTCCCTAGGCAGCCATCTGTTGAGAGTTGTAGCAATTGCTGGACTGAAGCAACTGCTAAGAATGGGCCACCCTTTCTCTCTCCCACATCCTCTTCTCTGAGACCATGTGCTGCAGGAGGAGAGGTGCTAAACTGGAGAAACTGGATTAAGCATGGTGGGAAGCTAGGTTCAGAGGGGGTGACATGGGGAAAATCTTGCTCTGAAATGGAACTGGGGAGGTGGATATAAGGGTATTTTGTGGGTTCTCTGTTGAGGAGAATCTGGATCCATGAATCAGAAACCTACACAAAGGGAATTGGCGGTTTCTTTTTGGACTCACATCCTGAGCTGTTTTCCAGAGTTTTCCTCTTTTCTCTTTCAATAACTTGCTTCCCATCCATTCCACTGTGAATGGGCTCTTTGGATAAAATTGTTTCCTGCATGCCAAGGCCAAGCTGGGCATTCTTATTCATTCTTAATCTTCGTCAGTCATGATAAGAATAAAGGTTATGCTGAATCAGACCAAAGGCTTGTCCAGTCTGGCCTTCGATTCCCATCGTATGCGTGTGGGAAGTCCACAAGCAGGACATAAAGCTACTTGCTGTCCAGTAGCCTCAAAGTAACTTTCAGTAGATTTAGCAAATCTACCACCAGCTAAAACAATAGTGAAATTCACATTAAATATGAATTCTGTGAACAGAGCAAAATAAACTGCACAGCCATCTTCACCTTTGAGCATGGTAGCCACCTGCAATATCCAAACTCAGATGTCTTAGAACTGCAGAGGAAGCAGCTGAGAAAATGACTGGCAGTCAGCCTGCCTGTGAATATTCAGTAGCGTTAGGTATTAGATGCTGGTGGCTGGGGTGCCAAGAAGGGAGGGTCTGAAAGGAAAGATGACAGCTGCAGCAGATTGATTGAAGTCCACCCCTTCTGTAGGTGTGCCAGTGTTACCAAGCCATGAGTGCCATCTTTATTTTTTTGACCCTGCTGCAGAAGCTGCTGGCTGGTAGGAAAGGCCCTCCCTGCCAGCAGAGCATATTGAAAAAGCTGAGCTATTTTGAGCATCCTTTCCTGTAAGAAAGGCAAGAGAAATGTAAAATATGGACGTCGGCTTTCAAGGAAAAGGAGATGAGCTCCAGAGATAGCAACTTCATGTGTGAGGCTTTCCTAAGGAGTGGGGTTCATCTTGCTTCCCTTCCCTCCAGCCAGAGAGGTAGCAGATCACTATTCCCATATTTAAGGGTAGCTTAGCGTCTTGTCTGCTTCTCATTGTGGGAAAGCGAGAAACAGAAATTCTACTTTTCCAGGCAACTTGATTTACAACTTGAGATGGCTTTCTGCAGATTCGAGATGGCTTTCCTGTCTTGCAGGTACGATTTAAAAGATGACAAAAGCAGCTCCTAGTTTCCAGAGTGCCTCCACGATCCAAGGACTTGAGCTGGCATGAAGACCCCCACCACTGCTGCCACCACCCTTCACTGCAAGATTCCAAGCTCATCTTCTGCTGGATGGGCTTTTCGGTGTTTTGCTTTCCTAAGCAATCATAGAATTGTGTTTCTTTAAAAAAATCTTCTTTTTCAGTGTGAAACCAATAGGGGTGGAGAAATAACCCCTGATTGGATTTTTGAAGGGAAGATGGACAAAGATTCACATCCTGCATTCACCTTGCATGCTTCTCTTAGCACTGAAAACCATACGCTGCCTTTATCTTGACCAAAGAAGCGGGCCTTTTTCATCTTTCTGTTGGGGTTGGGGTTCCTTAGCCATCTTGCAAGCTGATGCTTTTGGCAGCTGCTGTAGAAGCAGCTAAAAAGACCAAGAGCTGCCTGAGCTCATCTCAGGGCATTAGGTGAAAGATACAAGGAGAACAACCTGGAGGGACCAAGTATTTCTCCCGTGTGATGATGGGCAAATGATAGAGGTTTCCAAACGTGAAGAGGGCCATGGATGTTTTCAAAGAGGACCAGTCATTTGGAAAGGGAACATAACAGTGGCAAAAGAGATTGGGGTTCTGTCCTAATTCTCCTACTAGTAGGGCTTTCAAATGGCATTCGGCCATCTGGAACAAGAGAAATAGAAAGTGGGGAAGTGCCGTGGCCAAGCAATTATTATTTGCAATGTTTATATTTTTCCCACATTGGGGGAATCCATGACACTGAGCGCTGTGCATTTTGCTGATACTCCAAGAGGGGAGTATCCCATCCCAACTTTTTGCAAATCCCCAGTACTGTGGTAGCAGATGGTTATCTTACCACACCTTCCTTCTTCTTTCTGCTTCTGAATTTTCAAAATTGAATCCGTTTGTGTTTGCTTCTTGGCTTGTTCCATTTCGTGCAGCCAATCCAAATGGGCGGATTGCTTTCGTAGAGTAACTTTACGGATGCCGCTTAGTTGCTGTTTTAAAAATGAATGTTGTCTGGTGCCTTCTTGCATTCTAGTCTTTGATCTGGTGTGAGGAGCGAAGCCCTCCTGTTACACCAAGTTCTAGGACGGTGTGCATGCTGTAGCAAGGAAATTCTGACTCTCTGCTCCAAATCAGATTTACAGAACCTATCTACCTATATACAGAGTGACCTGCATGATTTGCATTTTGATGACTTCCAATCTACTTTGTACAGTGAGGAGAAAGATAGATACAGAAACCGTGAGGAGATCATGCTTCCCGGAGCAACAAAACTCACAAGAAATGAGATGGCCAGAAAAGGCCTGTGCTGGTCTCCAACCATGAACTATAGGCATGATTTTTCTTAGCTAGCATGAACAAATTTTTAAGATGAGCTTCTGGGCTTTCCACATATGTAAACTAAAGCATTTTAACTCTTTTTTTTCACTGATGAATCACTGTTTGCAAATTGGCAGTGCTGTGCCATTCAATGCCACTTTGGCAGGGACGCCAATTGAGTTGATCCCTCTTTTAAACGAAAGCCAACTGCAAGGTCGCCATTTTTGCAACCAGTCATCCAACCATTCTCTTCCAGTGGGGAGAGTGTGCGCAGCAAGCTCCCGGCATGACTTAGCAGCTGCCCTGGGGTTGGTTTTATGGAGGTTTGTTTTCTGTGATGGTGTTATGAGAAAGAAGGTACTGGTTTAGTGATTTTAAAGGATCATGCTCATAGCTCCGGGAAGCCAAATCCCGGGGGATGCCTCACAGCGGCAGTTGGTTTCTTCTCCTGTTCCAGATCTTATAATATGGGGCAGGTGGGCAGAATCTGGGGAGCAAGAAAAGGTGGGATGCGCTCCTGAACTTCCCAACTTCGCACAGGAAAACGTTTCCTTGCAGTGGTACCTGATGTTCCACCATTCCACCGTCTGGCCACTGAGCCAATTCTTTTCCAGCTATCCCACACGCACCCTGCCAAATTCCCATGCATTTCTATTCACACACTGTTGCTCTCTCATCTCTGAAAAAAACCTAAGATCGCTATCTGTAATTTATAAATAGATTTTTTTTAACGGCTTCTATCTCTTTGTACAACCATAGCGAATGTATCTGACACAACAAATACGCCTCTCCACTCGGTCGGGTGGTGCTGCGCCCCCACGTGTGCTGGCAGTCCGCCTGCTGGGGGCTGAATCGCCCACTGCCTTCCATGCCAAGCCAAGGTTTCAGCTTGCTGTCTTCCTCAAGCAGGCTTTACCATGCAAGTGTGTTTCTGGCCGTTGTGCCTCTCATAGCCACTGCTGTAATTTGTTGTAGCAAATAAAGAGAAGAGGAAAATGTGATCGTGCTTCGTGAGGCTTTGTTTACCCTCCCTCTGATCCCAAAGGGGTGGAAAGAAGGAAGCTTAATGGAAGAACGAGACACCAGTTTGAGTCTTTGCACTTTCAACATTCAGAACGCTTTTCTGACATTTGAATCATTGCCTCCTATTTGGACAGTGAGGTTCAAAGAAGAGGGCTAGCAACATTACAGGTATTTACATTTACTAGCAGCGCCAACCCCCTGTGGTTGGGTTGCCTCCTGCACCGTGTTCCTCACACATGATGAAGAAGCCGGGTGAAGGTCCAGCTTTGGGTAGTAGACAGGTGCAATTTCACATATGGCAGATTTCTAATACCTTTAGTGTCAATGATGCAGCTTATGTGCCCAGCAGACTAATGGCCCCTTCTTGGATTAATCGGTTACAGTAATTAACTGATTGTCATTCTCAGTTTTTTTTAAATCGGAGACAAGAGCACACCTTAAAGAGGCCTGTTTGGAGGCATGATACCAGGGGCCAGCATCTGCATAATAGCACACAACTGCCTTCTCTCCCACTGCCACCATAGGTGGTTATGCCAGGAACGGCTGGACCCTGAACAGAGGCAGGATACTGTTAGAAAGCTTAAGGCTACTCAGATTGCCATCGCTCTTGCTATCCAAGCCCACTGCATAACCTTACAAAAATTCCTAGAGAAAATTGCTTATCGGAAAAACGGATCTTGTGAGAAAAATTCAGTCTATGACCTATACGTGCCAATTGCCACCTTTTATTACACAGCAACAGCTGATGTACAGCTAAAATAGGATGGTGCTGGTCTGAAAAAACTTGATAAAATGGAATGTTGCATTTCAATTTTTTTTTTTTTTTTTTTTGCTACTGAGCTATATTACCCTTCCTATTTTATTAATAAGGAAAGATGGCATTAAAGCCATTTATATTTTACACTGATGAAAACTCATTTTGAAGTTCTTATATCACAAAGTTGAGATACTGGAGTACATTGCCCAATGAATTATTGCAATGTGATACCCATACCTCTGATCCAAAATCAGGAGATACAAATTCAATGCGTGAAGCTTGGAGGATTTGGAAGCAGGAACGCATTTTAGTGTTTAAATTCTAACTACCCTACATCGGCTCTACCCAGTCAGCTCATTAGCGAAAACTCTCTCTTATTTGACTACTGAATGGCCATTCTGATCCATGAATGATCAGAAGCTGCATGGCACACATTTAACTTTCTGAGGCCAAACTCTTTGCTTTCCCCTACTCGTTAGTCTTAAATTCATTTCTCGGGACAATGCTTGATTCATTATGTGAAACTCAGTACACGACAGCTCATGACACAGTAAACATGAACATCTTTCAGCTGTCACAAGAGTGATCATTTTAGGTTTTTTTTCACTCAATGACTCTGACACCACCATTCATTTCCTACCTAACCCAACATAAAGGCACTGCCCAAACGTATGTGATAGAGTTTAAAATAGTGTAATCATTTCTCGAGAACCGCATATCTATGGCTTAGCTAGCTGGGATTGCCACAACTACTCTGATGTCTATGGATAATGCATGCATTCTTTTCTGCGGCTGGCATGAAGTCAAAGCAGGTGACTTAATTCCTATTCTGTAAGGAAAGAGGATGTCTGCCCTTTAACAGGAGATGCCATCTCTCTCCCCCCCACACACACTTCTACTTAATAAGAACCTTGCCAGAATAATCCCCACCCCTTTTCACGTCTACTCTGAAGGTCATCTTCTCCCAAACTGGCATCCCAACACTTAGCTAGCTTGGTGCCAACACTTGGAAGCAACTTCTGTTTCTAGTTCTGAGATCCAAAGCAGCTGACCTTGAGTTCTTGACATCTCTTCTTGCTGATGGTACATCTAGCAAATAGATCAAACTCAAGAAGAATCTGGACTTCTGCAACGCGGCCTCTGGATAAGAGGATTCAGTGCTGTCGATGCTTGTTTATCAGGGGTGAGATGGAAATGTAATGAATTTACAGGATTTTTTTGCATTGGTATTACCTATGTGAATATATAATCCCTGAAATAAGCAGCAGGTTCTATGCATAGGTGGGGAGCTTGTGGCTTTCCAGATGTTGCTGCATTGCAACGCTGCCAGCTCAGCTATCTTGGCCAAGGGTGAGGGGTGCTAGGAACAGCAGCTCAGTGGCACCTGGAGGACTACAGGTTATCCGTCCCTGTGCAGAATGTAGCATATTGAGGAGAGGAGGAATGTCCAGGAATTGACTTGTTTTGGGTTTCCAGTATGTCTGCTGGGAGGCGTGATAGAGGTTGCCTCCCCCAGTTGCTGACTTGTATCTAAGAGACAGCAAGTTATGTAATACTGCTGCTAGATGTATCTGCAAAGGGAAATGTTCACCAGTCGTTCCTCTTCTGTCTTTCACCAGGCTGACAGATGCCGGCACTGCATTCCCCCTTACCTGTCAAGTGGTGCTAGAATCCGAGGCAGACCATAATAAAATAATAATATGTGCACACATTTGACTGAGAGACGTCAGCACAAGCCTAAATCTCCTTTAATAACGTAATAGAAAGCAGTACAGAATGTGGAGGGGGCTATTCTGATAGGACAAGTGGGGCCATCCATCAAATCCTCCTCCGGGCTCTTAGCTGTCCAGTCTCACCTCATCTCTTGTTGGCTTGGACAGTTGAGTGATGTGTTTGGAACAGGCATCCGAGCCCTGCAGAAGGGTTCATTGGCAATTCCTGAGCCTTGTGACTGGGACATAGCAGGGAATTCATGGCTTTGTTTAACCTTGTGGTGGGTAACCTGTGATCTAGGCTCCAGGTCCCCTTTTGGCAGTCCTTGGGATCCCCTTCCAGCCATGACTGCTTAAAACCTACAGCAGAGTTTCTTGTTTGAGTTTGGAAACTAACATACACCCTAAAATAGATGTATTTCAGGTAAAGAATAAACCTGCACGCTCCCCAATTTCCCCCCAATTATTTTGCAGCCCCCGTATCCATGTTAAGTGTAGCTCTTGGACACAAAAAGGTTGTTTTTCCCCTCTTTTACCCAAGGCTTGGGGGAAAATGTCACTAGTGGAGCCCCAAATTCCTACAAAAGTTGCCACCAAATTGCAATAGTTAATGTGGCAGGAAAAGGAAACTGAAATACATTTCATTAAATCAAGGTGAGGTTTTGTCCTGTCCCCTACAGTTTGGAGTGTGTCACCTAGCAAACCAAGTGTCAGTTTTGACCCCCCTCCCCACAAACAAGATTAAGGGTAGGAAGAACTGTGTATATAGAAAGTGCTTTACCAAAGGACAGAAAAGCACCAGAAATTATTGAAAGTGTGTGTATTAGCATCTGGTGGAGCCTGGTCCTTTAGTAGTAAAACAATACGCATACTCACAGCACATTCCAAGTGCGTTTTCTCAGTAATCTTTACAAAACTCCCCCCCCCGCCGCCCAGTAAGGTTCACTATTACAAACAAATAACATTTTGCACCAAGGAAAGCTGAATTGCATACTTTCTGCAAATGGGGCAAATAATAAAATTGTGCATATTCACACTGTTTATTCTGCAGTTTGTATTATTTCAGTTACTCTATTTCTTTTATGCTGGTCTAGTCATACAGGAAGTCCTCAACTTACAACTGTTTGTTTAAGGACTGTTCGAAGTTACAACAGTGCTGAAAAAAGTGACTTATGACCAGTCCTCACACTTATGACCATTGCAGCATCCCAGGGTCACATGATCACTATTTGTGACCTGCCCAGGGGGCTTCCAACAGCAAAGTCAATCGGGGAAGCCCTGTGATTCACTGACTGTGGCAAAAATGGACATAAAATCAGGCGTGACTCACGTAACAACTGCATCGCTTAGCAACAGAAGTTCCGGTTCCAATTGTGATCATAATTGAGGACTACCTGTATAGGGTGCCTAAGCGAAGAAACCCCCTCTGAACCACTACATGCTTTATAATCTTGCGTGTTGCGATAAAACAGGCACTGCTTATGCACTTTCAAAAGTATTCTCATGGCCACAGGACTAGAAACTTGCCCTATTAAAGCAAATTCAGACTCTCTGAAACTTAAATTTGCACCTAATGCTACAGTCAGGACTTTTTCTTCAGTGGCTATAGAATTACAACTGGAGTACAGGTAGTTCTGCCAATAAAACTATTTACCACTAAAATCCTAATTGAAAAACAGTCAAGTTACCACCAACAACTTCTGCTATGTAGAATTTTAGAGGAGGTGTTTAAAAAAAAATCTTAGTATGGAAGGAGCCCCATAAGGCTTACCTCATGTGCCTAAAAAGATTCATCATTCTGCCAATTAACCATTTGATTTCACTATCACATTAATCCAGCCTTCCCCAATCTCACATCTTCCAGTTGTGCTCAGAGTGCCATTTATATAATCCCAGGCTAGTCTAACATATCTTGAAGATGCTGAAATTGGAAAGGCTGGCATTACAGAAGGAAAAAGGAGGAGGAGGAGGAGGGAGGAGGAGGAGGCGGCGGCAGCGGCGGTGGCAGTAATGGTACAATAACTCAGCAGGCACAGCCTTCTTTGGACCACAGAGCATAATTGGCTTTGACCCAATGTGACCCTTTCCTGAAGCAAGGATGGGCCCAGAAGAACCAGGTCAAAAATTCAATTCAATTCAACTGAAATGTAAATTTAACATAATTACATATGATGATTGATTTGGTAGTTTTATCTCACAGCTTTCCTCCCAGAGCTCAAGGGGGCTTCCCTTCCCTTCCTTTTATTCCCCAACCAGCAATCCAGTGAGGAGGCTGGGCTCAGAGAGACGAGGCCAAAGTCATCCAGTGAGTCTCTGGCTAAGGAGAGACGCTTGAACATTGATCTCCCCAGTTCTAGTCCAACATCTTAACCTCTGGACCGCACTGGTTCCGTATCCTCTGTGTATTTCATATTCCTCCCTTTGGTCAAATGAAAAAATACAGTTCAGCAGCAACTGTTGAAAGGGTTCTGGAGGCTGGGCAGCGGGTGGCCCAGAAGCCTCAGATGGCAAATCCCAAGGATAAAAAGAGGGATTCTCTCTTGCTTGCTTCTGGTCAGCAGGTAATTGGGAGAAAGGAAGCACAAAAGCACTTCCCTTTCTTTTCTAAAGATCACAGCCAACAGAACCAGAGGCAAAGTCACAGCTGCACAAATCTAAGAGCAACACAAACAAACACAGGGCAATGGAGGCAGGGCAGGATTTATATAGCAGATGTTGTGCTAATGCCTTAATCCTCTCTGGGAGTGTCTCTTGAACCCAGGACTCCACGGTAATTAGGATAAGATACAAAGCTTCAGGAAGTCCTTCATCAAACAATATACTCTCTATCCAATTAATTTTCAAATGTTGAGACTGAGATTCAGCAAAAATCAAGATCGGGTAATAAAGACCCCTTTCCTATCAAGTTGTCGCTTTAGGAATTCTTTTTTTTAAGTGCTTAAAAAAAAGTTTTACATTGGCAATTTCTACTACTGGGGGATCTGATTTAGCTGATCATTAGCACATGCCCTAAGTGGTATTGAGGGACACCACGCTGGTGATGATAGTTCAAAGCAGCTGATGCAAAACAGCCTTCCAAACCGTGACAGTTCGGAGGTATCATGGGAACCAGCAAGAACATTTCTGAAAAGTAACAACGCCATTTCTAGTAATTTAATTTAATAATTTAATTTAATTTCTAGTTTTGTTAAGAAGGCATGGTCTATGCTCTGCAAAGGAATGTTTCTCTATATGGGTGGTACTTATTCCCAAGTTCCCTGACATCTCCCATCCTATGGATGTTCTGTAACTCCAGAACAAATTAAGGAAAGGCTTAATTTAAAAAGGCAGGCTACTTTTTAATTGTTTTTAATAGTGAAATACAGATAACTGCCATGCCAACAGAAACTAAGTAAATAAATAAATAGGAGTTATATGGTGAAGAACAAAAACTAGGTATAATGTAATGATTAAAATAAACTAAATGTGACAAAAAAGAGGGGGAAAGGGATCATTAGCAACAGAAAACAAAGAGATAAAACTTCCATATAGTATCCTCTGGTAGTGATAGAAAATGAATTCAGTCCTTAAGCTTATAATTATATCTAGATCATATACTGTAAAACGTATTCCTTCACCTTCCCATTTTTAGGACTCTTGAAAAATAGATAACCAACTTATTCTGAATCCATCCCTTAAAATCAGGAGGAGAAGTTTCTATTTATGTAAAATTATCCCCTTTGCCCTGCCCCAGCCAAAGCATTTCATAAGAGGACAAACTCCCTGTTTTAGGAACATAGTTCAACACCTCAGAAAGGGGCAGAGCACACCCTTCTTCTCCGGGTCTTCACCTGGGCTACTATTTGCATACAAATTGACGCTTTCCCTGCATGCGGTGATTAGGCTCCAAAAGAAATGCAACTAGCTTGGGTAAAGTATTCGTTATAGATTTGGGTCAAAGTATCCACTCCACCAATTATTTCCACCCAACCCCAACAAATGTACTTTTCTTCATTTCTGTCCCTGAATCTCCGGAACAGAGAACAGGGTGCTTATTGGGCTAATCCAGGGACAAGGACTCCAACATGTTCTCTAGCTACGTATGTTGCTACTGTTTCCCCTCTCTGCTTCACGATAAAGGAGCAGGCATGATTTTAGTTCCCAAGACAGAAGGAGCAGGTGGGGGGAGACGGGTACAAGTATAAACACTGCAGCCCTCTCAAATAATTAAGCCTTTGGTAGGTCCCCACCCTCTGTGATTGGGACAGGCACGATCATTTATTTAGAATGTCAATTAATCCAGCGCATCTGCATTAAAGTAGAAGCACCCCCTCCCACCCCCGTTTGCCTTCTGCTAACCAGCATGGCTGGTGCAGAGAGCCAGAGGTTTTGCTGAGTGAGGTGGCTGGCTGGCTGGCTGGCTGGCTGGGTGCCATGCAGACAGAGCCAAGGCCTGGCTGTTCAGAAAGGATGCTTAGCTGTAGCAAAGCCTTTGGAGATTGCTCCGTCTTGAATGAAAGGAGGACCTCGCATTGCTGAAGGTGACTGATGCTCCCATTTTTAGATGCATTCCCACTCTGTCCCCAGCAATTCCTCTTGGGCTGACATCATTGTATCGACAGAGCTATTTAAGCTGACACAGGACAGAGACAGCGTGAGCCTGGGGACCTCGCCTGCCCGTGCTGCTGACCCTGCCTCTGCTCTGTTTCCACAAGGAGACCCCAGGCGACATGGCCCCCAAGAAGGATGTCCCCGTGAAGCGGCCAGTAGCCCCACCTGCCAAACCAGCCGCTAAACCAGTCGGGGCAAAGCCAGGCTTCCTGGCAGCTAAAGGCAAAGCGCCAGAAGCAGCACCACCAGCACCGGCACCAGCACCAGCACCAGAGAAGCCCAAGGAGCCACCCATCGACCTCTCCAAAGTGGTGGTAAGTGAGGCCTGGAGGAAGAGTGGAGCTGCAGGGAACCCATGTCTTTCCTTTGGAAGGAAATGGAGCAGGAGGAGGACGTGAGAGGAGCAATCTCAGGTCCTTTTCTCTCCATCAAAAGCAGTGCCTTAAGATTGCTACACTGCAGTGCTAAGCTGAGGGACTTAACACATCAGAACTAGATATGGGAAGAATAAGCACACTAACAGTGGGCAGTAAATACTTCAGATATGAAGTACAGGTAGACCTCATTTAGCGACCACAATTGGGACCAGCAACTTGATCATGATGTATTTCGCAATGTATCTACTGTAGTTTCTTCGAAACATTGGGCAGAAGAGCTGACAGTTTCAGAGCAAACACTGATTGATTGTTCTAGGGCCTGCTTGCTTGACAGAGAAGAAAAATGTTAACTTGTGCACATCCACCAGACATCCATGATGGGCCTTCCCCAGATGCGCTGGACTACAATGTCCATCAGCTCTGGCCTGGTGGTTGGGAGTGCTGGTAGGCACCACCAGGGAAGCTGTTGCAGTATCTCCAAGGCCAGCAACCACTCTTGTAAACAACTGAAAACCAAGCCAATGTCAGATGCAAACTAAGCCATGCTTTTTCTATGTGTAAATCTAATCTGGTTTTGTTGTTATTGCTAAATTCTTATCTTCCTTTTGTGAGAGCTCTGTTTTCATTAACCTGACTTGCTCACTTTCCATTGGAAGCAGTGTGGTCTCTCCTACTTGGAATTATTAGGAATCAAGTCGTTTCCTGTGACATTTCAGAATCATTTATTTCATCTGTATAGCTATTGTTCCCATTTCTCAGAAAAGCAAGTAAGAAAGAGGGCAACTTTCTGAATTTATTTTTTTGTGGCACAGGAAGTTAGAGAGTTGGGGGTACAAGGAGAACAAGAGAGTTGTAATCAACAGACATTTTGCTAAAGACATTTTGAGTTCACCTTGTTATTTATATGGTAAAAAAGAGATTTAGTTATCACAGCAGCTGAAAAATTACAAGGGACAAAGTTAAACGGCTGCATTCCTTTGGAATTTTGTGCAGCTAACTGTGTCACTCCTAAGAGGCTGCATGAACTGGAATAACAGATGCCACAGGAAAGTACCAGCACTTCAGTGGCATAACCGTTTGCTTCTTAAGGCATCTGGCTGGCCGAAATTGGAAAGAGAACAGAATGCCGAACCCAGAGTTGATCTTTAACTTGAGCTCAACTCCCAAATAAATTGGATAAGATGTACAAGTAGTAAAAACAATTAATATGTGCCTATCTGTAGAAACAAGGACTGCTGCCATTTTTTCCTGATGCAAGATTAACACAGATACCAGTTTAATTTTTGTTTGTGTGCATCCATAAAATGACCAAGATGGCTATTAAGAACTCTAACAGAAATTGAGGAAGAAATTATTATGCATAAATTCAACTGAAACTAAGAACGCGGATCTTCCTTCTCAGTTCCTTGTACCAAAGGCCAGCCTACTGTACCAAGAGAACCCACCAGTTTACTATATATAGTGACGGCTTTGATTTGAAATTTATTTTAACTTACAAACCCAGTTTCTTGGTCTCTGCGTCGGACCAGATGATAACCCCCATGGCTTTCTGAGTTTAGATATTCAGGAGTTTTCATGCTACTTTTAAGCAACTGTGGACATTTTATAGATAGGGGGAAAAAAGGATTAGCTTCCATTGTTGATTGTTTTCTCCAAGCAAGTCAAGATAGAGGTTTTTTTGGAAAGGTTTTGGTAGCACATGTTGCTCCTGCTGGGCTGTTAGGATGCTCTAGTTTTAGGCATGGTTCAATCTTCATGTACCATGGAGGTTTTACTTTTAATTATAGTTCTATTAATGTAAATTGGGGATGTGCGATGGACGTTTCATTCTATTTGGACTATCATTATGGCAGGATGCAAGACTGAACAATAAATAAGTAAAGTTGCTTCCCCGTCATAACAAGGCCTCCACTATCAGACAATGGCAATTGGGACGGTTGGCAAACTAAGGTTAGCGGGTTAGAGGGGCTCCGAGATAAATTTAGCAATTGAAAGGGCTCCTGTTATTTTAACGAAAGGTCTAAACAGCAGGCGCAAAAGCCTGGTATTTGCAGGCCTGCGTGCTCAGGAAGCCGGGACAGAGACAGGTGGCTACCAGCAGGGAGGGGGCTTAGCACGGCGTGCGGTTATTTCAATCCCACCTCTACAGCCCTGCTTTAATGGGATGCCACCTTCTGAGAGCGGGCAGATCAAGTTGCGAGAGGACCGGAGTGTTCAATCAACAGTCGTGTCCTTGTCGTGCTGCAGGATTCCCAAAACAGTGAGGTAGGGTCTCCAATTAGGATACTGAACCTAGAGCAAACGCAAGGCCGTATTTCAACCTACTTGGGGTTCTGATCCCAGAACCTGCCTGCTGAAAGGCATCGCTGACCCACTCCAAGTATCCTCTCTCTGCCAACATGCCACCCCAGGCACAAGGGTGAAGGAGCCAAAACAGCCCTGTTGGTCCCATCTTGGTCCTCTGTTGCTGATAGCATTTATTTGCAACAACGTGCTGTGGTCAGACTCCCAGATACAGGCCCAGGCCAACATAGCTTGTTTGGAGGGCCCACAAATTCAGTGTCACACCACTTCTGCTTCCCCTCCTCCCTCATTTGCCCTCCAGGGACCCTTGGGAGGGAGAAAGATGACAGCTTTGCTCTACCAAACACCCAAACTAGTTTATAATTCAAAGGAAAGAGAAAGAAAAGACGTCTCTGCCTCTGGCTGGTAAGACAAGGAGGTGGGAAACAGAACCGAGCCCTGGAAGAGACAAAGAAAGGGGAGAAAACTAGGGACAGGGGAGTAGCTGCAAGGGATTTTCTCAGAGATTATCAGACTCAGGGCCCCTTCAACCCTGACAGCATCACCACAGGGTTGTACTGCTCATAGGCCTCCAAACCAAGCAAATGCCACAGGTAAAATTTGCCAACAGATATTGTATTATATTGCAAATAGATAATAGCAGGAATGCAAGTGCACCATAACCATACATCCACTAAAACACACCGCACAGCTAAACCTTCAAAGGATATCATACCTGGGTTAATTAGGCCAACAGTATGGCACTTTGAGAAACTTTCCTTTGGGTAAGAATGGAAACCCAAGGGGGGAAGGGCCTTGGGAGACTTGGCCTGCTTCACATCCAGGGACAGAAGGGCTAAACCGATTCACACCACAAAGTCTCTCCCTCTCTCTGGCTGCAGGGCTCTGCTGTGGTCGAGCGGGACCACCGTGAATGGGCTTCCTAGAACAACACCAGCCACTCTAGAAACACACACTTGGCACCACTTTGTTCTCATGCTCAGACAAGCATTCATGTTGTACCCACAAGACCTATAGAAGGTTTAGGGCTCAGAACTATCATAGTTTGGACAACTTTGTGCTATCCTTACAAAGCGGTCCATCCAGAACCGTTTTATAAACAGGCCAACCTTGACTTGGGCCAAACCCATGCATGTCCACAGATGTGCTGCACAGTGTTGGAAAAGATGGTCTCAATCTGGTTAAAGTACTTCATAAGGTTGTGGGGAGGGGGAGGAACACAGTAAATAATTTTTACATTTTCTTATGCTCACAGCTAAGTAGGCTAGGACTGTAAACAGATAAATAAAAATAATAAACTTGGAGGGTTACACAATTTAATGCATATGACATCACACATTATTTCTTTTAAAATAAAATGTTGACCTACTCCATTTTAAAAAATAAATCCTCAAAATTTGTTGCTTAGTGTCTTTAGAATCAAGAGTTTAAATAAAAAATAAGATGGGCAGAGTTCTTTTCTTTTAAAGAGGCAGCAAATGAAATGCATGCTCTGACTAAGCCTTAAAATAATTGTTCTCCTTCCATGCATCTACTGGTCAGTGCAGAATAAATACGCCAGTGTCAAAAACTGAAATCTCTCTCTCTCTCTCTGTCATAACTTTCCCATTAAAGTTTAATTTGAATTTTGGATTCTGGAATCCGCAATGATGGGTCATCCTTGCCTAAAGAACAGTGTTAGTTCTAAAGCTTGTTCTTAAAACAGCGAACTTCATTAACAGTGGGGTTGATGAACATGAAGGCATCTTGACCAATTTGATTTTTTACTGTAAGGATTTCTACTTGTTCTGGTAAATGACATGATTTCCCATCTCTTTATTCTTTCTAGATTGAATTCACCAAAGAGCAGTTGGAAGGTGAGTTAATTACATATCACTGGCCACCAAGAGACCTGGATTTATCTTACCATATATTTATGCATAAACAAACACAGACATAAGCGAATGTGCAAGCAAGCATTAGCGTAGCATAACAGAAAACTTTTATGTGTTTCTCCACTGTAACAAAATATCCACTTAGACTTGATTCCTAAGATTAGAAATAGACGTTAAGGGAACGGGTGTCAGGAACAGTAGCCCTGTATCTTTAATAGAGAAAACAGTAACAAAGATATCCCATTTATCCCATCCCCATCCTTGTAGTTCAACCAGTATTGTCAGATTTAATCAGATCCATGCAGACCTGAATTCTGTTGCAAACGTCTGCTGTAATTAAGAGATTGAATTTATTTTTTATTCCTGTTGGGTCCAGTGTGGCCATATTTGGTAAGGAACGCAAACCTGATTAATAGGAGAGCAGAGATTTTGTCCCTTTAATGATCACATAGACGCAGAAATTTCAGCAGGGACAGGTTGTTCAGAAAATGCGGCCTCTTCAGTCCCATTCAGATATTAAAGATGAGGGAATCCCACTGTCACACTTTATACTGGGTTCCTGTTGATTCTACTTTTCCAAAGTCATTAAGAAAACAGCTAATTTTATAATATTCAGCAATACTTTGTGTCTTTCTTGGTTGTTATCTTGGCCTATTTCTGAATATACCAAGAAGTGTGGGCACAAATTGTCCATTGAAAGTTGCTGGTAAGGCTGCTTGTGAATTATTTTGTCCATTGAAAGTTACTGGTAAGGCTGCTTGTGAACTTCTCCCCAGATATTTTGTAGTAGGATAGAGATACCTCTCAGTCCTACAAGAAAGACCAGACTAAGAAACAATGCCATGTAGGTCGGTACTGCTTTTATTGCAATAGAGTAGTGATGTATATATGTACAAATAGTTACAAAAATGAAATATGAGTAAAACAAACTCAGTTTCTTTGGTAACTCAAACAGGGAGAATAGTTGTTGGGTGTTGGTGATCGTTGGCATGTCACCCAAAACATGGTGTGTCACCGTTGACACGCGTGTCATACGTTCGCGATCACTGTAATAGGGTCTTGCAAGTCTGAATGTGCTTCCCCCTCCCTCTTTATCTTTGTGTGAATAAGGGAGGGGCTCGTCTGAGACATTTTCTCAAGTTAGTTTCTTGGTCTGGGCTCAAGTCCCACTAATCTGACCACTGCCGTGGTAGCAGCTCTCCCTTCTGTTCTTCAAGGCCATTCCCTCTGGCCTCTAAATATCTTAATTAAAATATTAATTGGCACTGGGCTAAGTAAGCAGAATACATGCATGTGTACATAACTATAGTGTAGTACCCTACAATCTAGTATATTTCAGAGCTGCTCCTTTTTTCAGTCACCTTTTTTGAATCTCAATAGCAAAAGCTGCTATTAAATGCATTTTTTAATGTTTTTTAGACATACGGCTAATATGTGAGTATTTTGTACTCTGATCTTTATATCTAAAGGCAAAGTATGAGAAGCCATCCCTAATTTTTTGGGAAGACTTTTCCATTAATATGTTTTGATTCAGCAGGCTAAGAGTCCTACAGTACATTGCCTAAAGATTATCATGTTTGCTCTATAATGTGAAGAAAAACATTACTAAGAGTTCTTCTGCAAGAAATATCAAATTTGCTGTAGCAGACTTTCTTGCCTCACCTGAACAAGAAAGAGAGCGCTTTCAAATGTCAGCACATCTCTAGTAGGGAATCTGACTCGTTTTGTGGGCTTATCCCCACATCCTGCGAACCATGACACAATGGTGTCCCACCAGCAACAAATCCTCATGACGCTGCCTTTGTTGCACCTCCAGCCTACCATGAAGGCAGCCTACATTCACCTTTAGCTGGTTGAGTTTTAAAGCAATGTTTTTTCCCTTGCTGTATGAATGACCCAAGATGCCTCACTGATGAAGTTGGTAAAGACCCCATCAGAGGCTGGGAACTGCGCAGCTCCTCTTGCCCATGCCCACCCCCCACCCCCCAGATGCAGAGTTCTGCCTTCATGGCCATTCGGTTGGGACTGCTGGAGAGACCTGATATCTGGCTCCCACAGTTGCATTTCCCCAAGTAATGCCTGGACAGGCATCGTGCCGGCTCCTAAAAGCCACTGGCTTAGTGCTCTTTCGGAAGAATTTTTAAATATGCGTCACCCAACCTGCCACCATGGCCCAAGCCTGTTCACCCCTACCCCCAACACACATTAAGGACAGGGATCGCTGGCTGCTTTTCCCACTGGCAGGTGACTCTGGATGGGACAGCAAATGTATCCCACATGAAAATTGCAAAGGACAGAAACAGTCACCGGTCTTGCTAAAGAAGCAGAAAAGAGATCAGCTGTTGGGATAAGGCAAACTATGCCGGGGTACTTTTCAGCCAACTCAGAAAGGGAAGCGATGCTCATTAACGTAGCCAGGAGGAAAAGCCCTAGAAGGGTTTTTAATTGTCCTTAGAACTGAATCTTCCTATAAAATGGAAGGCCTGCTTAATTAGCTCAATTATTAGAGAGGAGGTTAGGGTATAACATCTGAATTGCTCAGCTCTGTGCCTGAGGACCAATGTCTGGGGGCTATAACATTGTGAAATAGAAAGATGAATTCTCCAATGACAAAACCCTTGTCAGGCCCAATCCAAGAACCACCAGGAAACAGTTCATCCAAATCCAGTTCTTTCATTGCTTATACCATATAGACAGAATCTTGTCAGACTAAATCTGTACTACTGCAATGAGTGGATCTACCCTGGGAGATTCTAGGGAGTGGCTATTCTAAACCTCTTCTGCTTCCCACACTCCTGCTCCAGACTATGTTGTCTCTAGTCTCTCTGCCCTTCCTGGAATGGGCCGCCTCCTTCCTAAGAAACTTGCTCTCAACCACAATCCACCACAACCCTGGAAACAGCAAGATGACGCCCCTTTGAAGGATCACTGAGATCCTCTGTATATTAAGAGTAAGAACAGCCAGACCCTCCCAGATCACCATCATCATCTCTCTAGATCAGAATTCTCAACCATGGCAACTTGAAGATGGGTGGACTTCAATTCCCAGAATTCTCCAGCCAGCATGGCTCGCTGGGGAATTCTGGGAGTTGAAGTCCATCCATCTTCAAGTTGACAAGGTTGAGAACTCTGATTTAGATGTATCCCAAACAGAGCTTGCCTTTAGGGAGAAAGCCACCTTCTTACTGACTTGATGACTGACAGAAACTGGGCAAGCAGATGTTCCAGAGGGCAGTGTCCAGTTTCTTTGGGTTACAGTATGTGAATCCTCTAGCTGGCAGCCGGCAGCAGGACAAGCTTGACGCTTTATCTCCACCGAACTCCAGGCCCCTGCAGCTTTCCGGTTCAGAGGCCACATCACCAAACAGCCATATCAAAGTTTGATTTGATCTCTCTAGATTATAAGGAGGCCTTCGGGCTCTTTGATCGGGTCGGCGATGGCAAAATCCAGCTAAGCCAGTGTGGAGATGTGATGAGGGCACTGGGCCAGAATCCTACTAATGCTGAAATCCGGAAAGTCCTGGGACATCCGAAGCCTGACGGTAAATTATCTCTGAGGTGGTGCGTGCAGGGAAAGTTATAATATGACCACAGGATGGCAGTAGATTCCAGATTTAAGGGATCATATTAGAAAATTCAGCCTTCATTTAAGAACATTGTAGTTAGGAATATAAAACTAGAAAATGTGAGTTATGTAGCTCTTGATAACTGGCGAGGAATAACTCTGTCTTCTTCTTGTGCCTTAACTGTAATTTGATCTGCAGAAATCAACAAGGCATGATTTCTGAGGCACAGGAATAAATATCTTAACCTTTAAGCTCTGCTAAAGTTATCAGAGGCATGCAGCCATTCTTCTTGAACATGTGAGGAACCTGCAACATCACTCTGTAAATGAATAAATAAATTCCTTTAGTATAATTTATATTTGCAAGAATATGTTTAAAAAATGGCCCCTGACCGTTTGTTGAATAAAACATAATGGCCAGCTTTATATGCTTAACATAAGTAGTAGTTTATGTATCACAATAGCTGGGTTCAGACATTATGCTAAACCAAAATTAAACTTAGCAAAATGTGTGAACTCAGGGAATTTGATTAAGAAGAGGGATTTATAAATGTAACTGTATATACTCTTCACTATACTGTGAGGGAATGGTGATTTTAGGGTTAATTTGAAGAAGGCAGCAGAACATTATGTATGGCCCCAGAATTGACCTTCACTAGTTGTGGGGAACAAAGCAGATAGAGAACAAAGTAGTTTAAATAGGCTGCAGCTGCAGACCTTGTGAGCATAACCTAAATTAAGTGCACAACATAATCTAAGTGCACAAAAATATAGTATATTAAATATAGAGTATATTTCCCTAATTTAATTTGCATTTAAAATTTACATTTTTCAAATACTTTGGATTTCAAGGGCTCAGACTGAAAAATTACAGCAGTAAAAAATGGTGAGCCCGGCTGGTGTAGTAGTTAAACTGGGAGGCTGTGAGTTTTGGTCCGCCTGAGGCACGAAGCCAGCTGGAGACTTTGGGCCGGTCCCTCTCTCTCAGCCCTAGGAAGAAGGAGGCAAGGGCAAAACCACTTCCGAAATCTTTCCAAGAAAACTGCAGGAACGAATCCAGACAGTCGCCAGGAGTCAACACTGACTCAAAGGCAGGCACACACAAAATTGCAAGACTAGCAGTTGGGCAGGGCATGTACACGCCCTGGAAACTGGAAGAGCATTAATTGTCGTTTCTATATTGTATTGTGCTTTCAGCATATTTTTTCGTTGTACTGGAGTGCCAAAACAGGAGTGCCAAAACAGCACGAAGCGAGAAAAAGAGGTATCCATACGTTTGGCCATAGAAACCTAAAGATGGAAACACCCCCCTTCCCCCAACAGCTCAACACAGTATACTGCAGTGTTTCTCAATCTTGGCCACTCTAAGATGTGTGGACTTCAACTCCAAAAATTCCCCAGCCAGCCATGCTGGCTGGGGAATTCTGGGAGTTGAAGTCCACACAACTTAGAGTGGCTAAGGTTGAGAAACACTACAGTATACCGTCGTCTGAATACGTCAGTTCCTATATCATGCTGAATCAAAAAAGTACAGTACAGTATTCGCTTTTCTCTTAGGATAGTGAACGATCCCAACCACGGCTCTGCAGCTCTCCGGCTTCGAAGAGGAAGAAGTTATTTGGCGCACGCGGGGGCGCTCACGTCGCGTCTGTCGGACCTCCTTAAAGCGGACGCGCCTTTTCCGGGGCTGGTGGCCTTTGAGGAGATGCCGAGTGAGGCGGCTGGAGCGCCCCCGCGCGTTTCGAATCCGAATTGCTGCGTAGCCCTAACCCCAAGAACGATTCTAGCTGTAAACCACGGTTTGTAAGAGGGATGCGCAATTCGTGACCTGGGGCCATATATTCCCAGCCCCTTTTTTGTGACTGTTCAATACATCTAATTTAGTTGTTGTTTGCATACCACCCCCAACCCTCAGCGAGTTAATTTTTTAAAAAATATTATGCATGTAAGTATGTATTTATTTATCACATTCATATAATTGCCCATCTCACACTAAAAGCACAATGACTCTAGGTGGCTTACAATAAAAAACAATCATAAAATCCAAATGTTAAAAACTACAATTAAAAGACATTGACGACAGTATTCACAACAAGATGTTGTGCAAACAATAATATTGTTTATTATTTTTCTGTTGCTATCCAAATGGAGTGTTGATCTTGCTGGTCGTCACCGAAGACAAATTCCTTGTATATATTTTATACTTGGTCATTAAAGTATTTTGTATTTGTATTTGTATTGTATTGTAATGTAAGATAGTGGAGAGAATTGATGTTGATGTGGCCATCTCATCAAATCACCATAGAATTCCAGCCATGGAAAGGTTGACTCCTTTCCCCTGGTTTATGATTTAGTGCTTGCATGAAATTAGCTCACTGTGATTTGTTCAACCAGTCATGGTGAAAAGGATCCATAACCGCATAATGTGTAAATCCAGCCCATGTTCCATCTGCAAATGTAACGGAAATGTAAATTCCTTTTCTTGGTGAAGAGTTCTACCTGTGTGACAACAGAAACAGCTTTCTGAGGCCCCAAGGGTGGATAGTTGGGTGGGAAATGAATGCTTCTTCTCCTTTTGCATCTTCTCTTCCCCCACCTCCCGATTCCCCGCAGAGCTGAATTCTAAAAGGGTGGAGTTTGAAGAGTTCCTGCCAATGCTGCAGACAATTGCCAAGAACAAAGATCAAGGCACCTACGAGGATTACGTGGAGGGGCTCAGAGTCTTCGACAAGGAGGGGAACGGCACCGTAATGGGGGCAGAATTGCGCCATGTCCTTTCCACACTGGGTAAGTACAGTCCCTGCCACCGCCACCACCACCATCCAAAAGAACTTCCAAATAAGAGAAATTCATTTCAAGCTATAGCCACAACCTCAATTTTTCCTCCTTTAGAAAGGCACTAATCTAGTAAATATCAATGTTGCCCTGATCTTCATTTAACATTGACTGTAATTTACAAGCTATTTGGATGGCTTTCTACCCCCTTAATGTTAACATTAGCTCCATTGTAAGGTCCAGTGAAATATCCTTTCTCCATTGATGAAGGTTCCTGCACTTCGGTTTACTTTAAAAAATATCAGGAGAAATTTGTGCTGGTTGTAAAGTGGCATCAGCCTGTAAAGGCCTTTAAAAAAAAAGTGAAATGTTGGCTTGCCTGCATTTCGAAGCAGTGACCCAATGTCACCAAGTGACTTTAACAAAGAGGAATGTCAACCCAATTTCCCTAATCCAGATATGACACTCTTTAAAAAACAAACGAAAAAGGATTGTGTGTCTTTGATTTGCCAGCATAATAATCAGAGTCAATCTGCATAAATAACTTTTTATATCTCTTTAAAGGGGCCTATGGGGACACATATTTAGAGATGTTGCAAATTGATCCAATTGTCCAAAGTCTGGTTCAGCTCAACTGGCCACGAGATCTACTGCTGTTTCAGAGGACCTTGAAGACCTGGCTCTTTACCCAGGCTTTTGGCTAGGGTTTTTGTTGCTGCCAACTTTTTGCTCCTTTTTTCTAATTATTATACAGTTTTATTGTATTTTTTTCTGAGTTTTTTACTTTGTGACCCACCCAGAGTTGCTAGGAATTGGGGGTGTACAAATGTAATAAATAAATCGAAGAAAGATAAACCATCTTTCTTTCTTATTATTATTTTTAGGTGAGAAAATGACAGAAGAAGAAGTGGATTCTCTATTATCAGGTCATGAAGATGCTAATGGTTGCATTAATTATGAAGGTAAGATATTATGCCTGTTGTCGGTTGAGAGAATATGCAACATATTTGGTTCATTTTGATCCTACAGAAACATCAGAACTTCCACATCTGGCAGGGAAATGTGGCCATAAAATTATGAATGTTGGAAGATTTTTATTTCCATAGAACATTGCATAAATAGGAATCCCCTTATGGACTTTTTGCATAAAAGAGAAAACAATGAACTCATGATTTATGGTTTTGAGGGTTAGATAGGCTAGATTATAGAAAGAACAGAGTCATGATGCAATTTTAGAGAAAGAGGTAAATTTATAATTGTACTTTTAACTGCTGTAAAGAAAATTGGAAGCCATTTATTTGTATCTTTTTTCTTTCTTTTCTATTTTTTCCTTTTTCTTTCTTTCTTGCACTTTTAGCTCTTTGATTTCTTTCTTTTTCTTTTTACCTCCTTACTCTATATTAGTTTGTATTAGTTTTTATCTTTGTTTTTAAAATGTTCAATAAAATGATATATATTAAAAAAGAACATTGCATAAATAGGGAGCACTGACATTGTGCTGATATGGGATCTGTTTATCCTCTAATACTGATGTAGGTGTTAGAATTGCCTAAAGGTTAGCAATAGCAGTTCAGTAACTCCTGTTTTTTATTAAAAACTAAACCTGGCCCATAAGTACTTTTAAAAACAATCCAAAAGAAAGTCATCAGGTATGATATTTGCTCTTCCAATGATGTTTGTATTTTATCACGATGTATATAGGCTAGTTACTGTATGAAAGTAAATAAAATGGTCTGTGGTAATAGTTTGCAACCAACTTCTGTCATCAGCCTGAAGCAACTAGAAGTGGCAGGGATGACATTAATTGTGGATATTTATATTTTTATTGTTTTCATTGTCTTGGATTTTAACTGTAAGCTGCCCAGAGTCATCCTGTGGGGGAGATGAGCAGCATATCAATTTAGGAATGAATGAATGAATGAATGAATGAATGAATGAATGACAGCTTCCTCAAGTTAAATCATTTTAGGTGAAAATAAGCCCTGGGACAAAATGCCCTGGGTGATAATTCTCTCTTTTCTCTCTCACAGCATTTGTCAAACATATCATGGCAACCTGA